CTGGTGAAAATTTCATGTCATTAGCTCCTCTAGTAATATATTTACTGAGAGAAATGGTGACGTGTTCAATACTTATTTTACCCGCTGTATATATTTAAAGTTCACAGGAGAGGATGTAAAAGATGGCAGGTTGGCGTTCCTGGACTGTGATGTCTCAGTTTCGGATGGAGGACGGTTAGAAACTGACGTGTATCGCAAACCCACCCATACAGACCATACTTATTTTACCCGCTGTATCCATGATTACTAGTATTTCATGAGAAATTTTGCTAACAAATAGACAAACAAACACAATAACAAACACAAGCACACACATGAACACCCACCTTTCATGGTGGCCATAAATGATGTCATTGTTTTGTCTGTTTAATTAGGAAAACCAACTCGTGCAAAACTCCAAACTGCTGTTAGAGTTTTACATATTTTCTCTCACGATCCTCTCAGGTTATTTTATCGATTGAAGAAGGTTATCGGCTACCAGCTCCAGTTGGCTGTCCGGTGATCCTGCACCAGCTGATGCTGCACTGCTGGCAGAAGGAGGCCGGCCAACGGCCACACTTCAACGACATTCTGTCTTTTCTCGACAAACTCATCATTAATCCCAGCAGTATGCTGACACTTGTCAATGATGCTATGAGGTGAGTTACTCTCTGAAGACTTAGGCTAGCTAAAAGCAGCAAAAGATTAGCTAGTAGAAAAAAGCTAGCCAAAAGCTGACTTATCAAAAGCTACCTAAAAGCAAAAGTAGTAAAATGTTATCTAAAAGCTATTATCGAAAGGCTACCTAAAAGCTAAAGTTGTAAAAGGTTACCTAAAGCTGACGTTTCAAAGGGCTACCTAAATGGGAAGTAGTAAATGTTAGCTAAAGTAGATAAAGGTTAAGATGACTTATCAAAAGGCTACCTAAACGCTAAAGTAGTAAACTTTAGCTAAAGTAGATAAAGGTTAGCTAAAAGATGACTTATCAAAAGGCTACTTAAACGCTAAAGTAGTAAACGTTAGATAAAGTAGCTAAAGGTTAGCTGAAAGCTGACTTATCAAAAGGCTACCTACAAGCTAAAGTAATGAAAGGTTAGCTAAATTAGCAAAAGGTTAGCTAAAAGCTGACTTATGCAAAGCCTACCTAAAAACTAAAGTAGTAAAAGGTTAGCTAAAAGCTTACTTTTCAAAAGGCTACCTAAAAGCTTAAATAGTAAAAGGTTAGGTAAAGTAGCGACAGGTTAGCTAAAAGCTGACTTATCAAAAGGCTACCTAAAAGCTAAAGTTGTAAAAGGTTACCTAAAAGCTGACGTTTCAAAGGCTACCTAAATGGAAAGTAGTAAATGTTAGCTAAAGTAGCAAAAGGTTAGCTAA